AGGGGGGAGGGGGGTCGAACTGGTAGTGACCCCCCCCCGGTTCCGCCAGGGGAAAGGGGGGGGAGAGGAGGGGGGGTGTTCGATCAGGGGGGGGATTTTCGGAAGGGGGGGGGACCCCGTAAAAAAAAATGAACGCCCCAGGGGTCCGTTCCCGTTCCCGTTCCCACTTTTTTCCCGTTTTATCGTCCTCTCTCTCTCTCGTCCTCTCTCTCGTCCTCTCTCTCTCTCTCTCTCTCGTCCTCTCTCTCTCTCTCTCTCTCGTCCTCTCTCTCTCTCTCTCTCGTCCTCTCTCTCTCTCTCGTCCTCTCTCTCTCTCTCGTCCTCTCTCTCTCTCTCTCTCGCCCTCTCTCTGTCTCTCTCCGTCCACCCTGAAGGGGGTCAAGAGGGAGGCTCCAGAAAGGCCGCGGACGCTTGGAGGCTCGTTGGAGGCTCGGACGTAATAGTATTCGTAGTAGTAGTAGTAGTAGTAGTAGTAGTAGTAGTAGTAGTCGTCGTCGTCGTCGTCGTCGTCGTCGTCGTCGTCGTCGTCGTCGTCGTCGTCGTCGTCGTCGTCGTCGTCGTCGTCGTCGTCGTCGTCGTCGTCGTCGTCGTCGTCGTCGTCGTCGTCGTCGTAGTAGTGTAGTAGTAGTAGTCGTAGTGGAATCGTAGTCGAGTCTAGTCGTAAGGAGTAGTAGTAGTAGTAGTAGTAGTAGTAGTAATCTTAGTAATAGTAGTAGTAGTAGTTGTAGTAGTAGTAGTAGTAGTAGTAGTAGTAGTAGTAGTAGTAGTAATCTTAGTAATAGTAGTAGTAGTAGTAGTAGTAGTAGTAGTAGTAGTAGTCGTAGTAGTAGTAGTAGTAGTAGTAGTAGTAGTAGTAGTGGTAGTAGCAGGAGGCGGAGGAGGAGGAGGAGGAGGAGGAGGCCCTGGGAGGCCTCTCTGGGGAGGCCGTGGGAGGCTGTGGGAGGCTGACGTTCCCGTTGTCGTTCCCGCTTCTTGGGTCGTCTAGAAGGCTTAGGGGGAGTAGACGGGAACGGGAACGGGAACGCGACCGGGAACGGGAACGGGAACGTGAACGGGAAAGCGACTGGGAACGGGAACGGGAACGCGATCGGGAACGGGAACGGGAACGGGAACGGACCTATAAGGCGTTCGCGTTATTTTACGGGGGGACCCCTGGGTTCCAGAGGAAGAGGGGGTGAATCTTCCACAGTAAAGCGGCGGTGGATCACGCTCTCTCGTATCATGTGATGTCCTGTTTTGGTGTTCTCTCTGTAGATCTCGTGGATCGCGTCATACATGGTCTGCACATGTGGATCGCAGTATCCAGACTGGGGAAAATACGCTGACACAAGTTGTATTTTGAAAATTTCCGTCTTCAAAGACCCCGTTGAGAGTCTGGGCGCGAGTGCTTGGAATCGCTGAGTGTGCTTTTCTGACGTTGGTGGATGATCAATGCAACTCCGTGGCACGCCTGGTCGTTGCCGGACCCTGCAAAGATGAAATATGTGTCCTTCTGTGGTTGTCCAGAATTCCTCTGGCGTAGTCCTCCACGTCTCGTTGATGAATGCGAATTCCCATTGGTCCGACTCGAGCTCAGTGATCATCTCTTCCACCCAGTCGTCCGTGGTGAGTGATCGGGCGTTTTGGTGTACGACCGTCGAGCGAGCGTGGTCGGTGGCAGCGGTCTTCGGCGATGCCGTCGTCGGTAGCTCTGGAGCTGCCGGCTGTTGTTGGACGAAGGGAGGGAGAAGGGGAAAGGAGGGGAAGGAGAACGAGGGGGACAGGAGGGGAAGGAGGGAAAAGAGGGAAAGGAGGGGAAAGGAGGGGAAAGGAGGGGAAAGGAGGACGAGGAAGGGAGGGGAAGGAGAAGGCTGGTCGGCGCTGGAGGGTCGTGGTCAGTGGTGGTCCCTGGTGGGTGCTGCTGGTCGGTTGGGGTCGGCGCTGCCTGTGGTGCTGCTGGTCGGTGGAGGTGGTTGGTGGCGGGTGCTGGCGGGTGCTGCTGGTTGGTTTGGGTCGGCGCTGTTTGCTGTGCTGGCCGGTGGTGGTCGGTGGTCGCTGGTGGGTGCTGCTGGTCGGTTGGGGTCGGCGCTGCTTGTGGTGTTGCTCGGTGGTGGAGGAGGAGGAGGAGGAGGAGGAGGAGGAGGAGGAAGGAGGAGGAGGAGGAGGAGGAGAAGGAGAAGAAAGAGGATAACGAGGAGAAGCAGGAGAAAGAGGAGGCAGAGGAGAAGGAGAGAGGGAGAGAGCGGGAGAGAGAGGGAGGGAGAGAGAGACACAACAAACGAGAGAGAGAGAGAAGGAGAGTGCTATAGAGAGAGAGAGAGAGAGAGCGATAGAGGAGAACGAGGGGGAGGAGGAGGAGGAGGAGGAGGAGGAGGAGGAGGAGGCGAAGGCGGATGAGGAGAAAGAGTAAGAGGAGGAGGCGAAGAACTGGGCCGCCAAGGAAAACAATTAGCCTGGTGAAGGACCCAACCAGATGCAGTTGTTAGTACCGCCGTTGTATGCACCGCATTCGGAGGAGCTCCCTATGAGGCCACGAAACGTGTGAGGGGTGTGCCAACAATTATCTAGTGGGCGCATGCGAGATCAGCCACTTGGGCCGTCGGTGGAATTCCTTATGGGGCCACGAAACGTGTGAGGAGTGTGCCGACATGGGTGTGGGTGACGCATGCGGGCGGTGGCAGTGGGGCCTTCGGTGGAGCTTCCTATGGGGCCACGACACGTGTGAGGGGTGTGCCAGAATTTGCGTGGGTGACGCACGCGGGCGGTGACACTGGGGCCTTCGTTGGAGCTCCTTATGGGGCCACGAAACGTGTGAGGGGTGTGCCGGCATAGGTGTGGGTGACGCATGCGGGCGGTGGCACTGGGGCCTTCGGTGGAGTTCCTTCTGGGGCCACGACACGCGTGCGGGGTGTGCCGGAATGGGCGTGGGTAACGCATGCGGGCGGTGGCACCAGGGCCTCGGAGGAGCTCCCTATGGAGCCACGAAACGTGTGAGGGGTGTGACGAAATTGGTTTGGGTGACGCATGCGGGCGGTGGCACTGGGGCCTTCGGTGGAGCTCCCCATGAGGCCACGAAACGTGTGAGTTGTGTGCCGAAGTGGGTGTGGGTGACGCATGCGGGCGGTGGCTTTGGGGCCTTCGGTGGAACTCCCTATGGCGGCACGAAACGTGTGAGGAGTGTGCCGACATGGGTGTGGGTGACGTATGCGGGCGGTGGTGCTAGCTCCCTTTCGGTGGAGCTTCCGATGGGGCCACGCAACGTGTGAGGGGTGTGACGACATGGGTGTGGGTGACGCGTGCGGGAGGTGGCAGTGGGGCCTTCGTTGGAGCTCGGAGCTCCCTATGGGGTCACGAAGCGCGTGAGGGGTGTAACGAAACGGGTGCGGGTGACGCATGCGGGCGGTGGCACTGGCGCCTTCAGTGGAGCCTCTTATGGGACCACGAAACGTGCGAGGGGTGTGCCACAATGGGCGTGGGTGACGCACGCTTGCGGTGACACTGGGGCCTTCGGTGGAGCACACTACGTTGCCACGAAACGTGTGAGGGGTGTGTCAGAAGTGGGTGTGGGTGACGCATGCGGGCGGTGGCACTGTGGCCTTCGGTGGAGCTCCCCATTGGGTCACGAAACGTGTGAGTGATGTGCCGAAATGGGTGTGGGTGACGCATGCGGGCGGTGGCATTGTGGCCTTCGGTGGAACTCCCGATGTGGCCACGAAACGTGTGAGGAGTGTGCCGACATGGGTGTGGGTGACGCATGCGGGCGGTGGCACTGGGGCCTTCGGTGGAGCTCCCCGTGAGGCCACGAAACGTGTGAGTGGTGTGCCGAAGTGGGTGTGGGTGACGCATGCGGGCGGTGGCTTCGGGGCCTTCGGTGGAACTCCTTATGGCAGCACGAAACGTGTGAGGAGTGTGCCGACATGGGTGTGGGTGACGCATGCGGGCGGTGGCAGTGGGGCCTTCGGTGGAGCTTCCTATGGGGCCACGACACGTGTGCGGGGTGTGCCGAAATGGGTGTGGGTGACGCATGCGGGCGGTGGCACTGTGGCCTTCAGTGGAGCTCCCTATGTGGCTACGAAACGTGTGAGGGGTGTGCCAAAATGAGTGTGGATGGCGCATGCGGGCGGTGGCACTGGGGCCTCCGGCGGAGTTCCCGATTGGGCTACGAAACGTTGTATTGGGTGGGTGAGGAGGGAAGAGGGGGGAAGAGGGAGGAGGGAGGAGGGGGAGGGGTAGGAGGAAGAAAGGAAGAAAGGAGGAGACGCGGGGCGCTGTCTTTTCAAGACGAGGACCCAGCAAGGATGGTTGGGAATGATGAAGAAACAGGTGGGAAACAGGTGGATGCGTGAGGCGGAGGAGGAGGAGGAGGCGGAGAAAGAGCAGGAGGAGGAGGAGACGAAGGAGGGAAACGGGGGCAGAAGGAGGAGGGTGAGGAGGAGTCGGAGGCGGAGGCGGAGGCGGAGGCAGAGGAGGAGGAGGAGGAGGAGGAGGAGGAGAAGCAGAAGGATGAAGAGGAGGAGCAGGAGGAGGCGGAGGAAGTGGACGAAGGGGCGGGATGGGGTGAGGGGGGTGGAGAGAGGAAAAGGATGAACAAGAGAAGGAGGAGGCGGAGGAGAAGAAAGAGACGGAGGAGGAGGATGTTGGAGAGGAAGCGGAAGAGCAGCAACAGCAGCAGCAGGAGGATGAGAACCAGGAGGAGGGCAACGAGGAAAAGGAGGAGAAGGAGGCGGAGGCGAGAGAAGGAGGAGGAGGAGGAGGAGGAGGAGGAGGAGGAACGACGATGAGGAAGAGGAGACGGACGAGGAGGAGGAGGAGGAGGAGGAGGCGGAAAGGGTGGAGGAGGAGGAGGAGGAGGAGGAGGAGGAGGAGGAGGAGGAGGGGGAGGAGGAGGAGAGACTTACGCTACGGGCGTGTCCGCCCTGCAGCCTGCGCGAGAAAAGGACGAGAACACGGAGGAGGAGGTGGTGGAGGAGGAGGAGGAGGAGGAGGGGGAGGATGACGACGACGACCAGCCCCGCCGAGAGGTGCGGGGCACGGTCCCCCTCGGGGAGGCCGTGTCTACGCGGCCCCACCTGGCGGTCGAGGCCCCTCGGCCGCCGCTGCCGTTGCGGCCGCCGCGGCCGCCGCTGCAGCCTTGGATCGCAGGCGATTTCTCGCCCCCAGCCCCCGACCGATCTTTCCATGGCGGGGGCCCATGGGCCCGTCTTCCGGGGTCCTTCGCGTCCTTCCAGCTGGCCGGCGGAACGGGCCGAAGGCCCACCCTAGAAAGTTTAGCAAGAACCAGAAACTACCGAACGTGTGGCACGCAGTGCACCCCCGTGGCAAGCACGGGGGGCGGCGGATCGAAGACGCCTATGGCGAATCACCGCCGCACCCTACCTGTTTGGGAGCGCCTATGTGGCCGAAAGTGGGCTAGAGCTATGCGACCATGTGTTCCCCCAGCTGTCCTTGAAATCATTCGGGGCACACGTGAGGAAGAGGAGAATGAGGAGAAGAAGGAAAAGAAAGTAGGAGGAGGAGTAGGAGGAGGTGGAAGAAGAGGAGGAGGGAGAAAAAGGAGGAGGACGTCTCTTGGAAGCCTCTTGGGGCACTGGGGGTCTCCTGAGTGCTTCCTGGGGGCCTCTTGGAGGCCTCTTGGGGGCCTCCTTGGGCCTCTTGGGAGCCTTTGTGGGCTTGTTTGGGGCCGCTTTGGCAGTCTTCGCCTTTCCTGGCCCGTCTGCCGCCGTTGGAAGTAGTCTTGGATGCCTCTCTGAATCGACTTGGGGCATCTTGTGGCGCTTCAGGGCCGTCTCGGAGGCCATCTTGGGCGCCTTGGAGGCCTCTTGGGCCGTCATGGGGGCCCTTGGGGCCGTCTTGGAGGCTTCTTGGGCCGTCCTGTGGCCATCTTGGAGACCTTTGGAGCCACCTTGGGCCGATCTTGGGGCCGTCTTGGGCAGTCTTGGGCGTCTTGGGCGTCGGAGGGCCGAAAAGAAGCAGTTGTCAACATCTTTCAAAAACCTGAGTGAAAGCAATGATGTTGGCCTCTGCGGGTTCTGCTGGAGGACCTCTTGGAACATCTTGAGCCGTCTTGGAGGCCTCTTGGGGGCGTCTGGGGCCGTCTCGGGTTGTCTTGGAGGCTTCTTGGGCGGAGTAGAAGGCATCTCAGGCACTCTGAGGCTGTCTCAGAGGCCATCTTGGGTCGTCTTGGAGGCCTATTGGATCATCTTGGGCGAACTTGGAAGCCCTCTTGGGGCCGTCTTGGAGGCTTTTGGGGCCGTCATGAGGTCATCTTGAAAGCCGTTGGGGCCATCTTGGGGCGATCGTGGGTGACTCTTTGGCCGTCGGAAGGCCGACACGGCGCAAACGCCAGAATCCTTCAAACTCATATGGAAATCATTGATTTGGGCCTCTTCGGGCCCTCCTGGGAAGGCGTGTTAGGGGCCTATTAAGCCGTATTGGGCCGTCTTGGAGGCTTCTTGGGCGGATTTGGAGGCATCTGGGACAATCGTTGGCCGTCTCGGAGGCCATCTGTGACCCTCTTGGGCCGTCTTGGAAGCCATCTTGTGCCATCTTGCGCGAACTTGGAAGCCCTCTTGGAGCCGACTTAGACTTATTGGACCGTCATGAGGTCATCTTGGAGGCCTTTGGGGCCATCTTGTGGCGATATTGGGAGACTCTTGGGCCGTCTCAGGCTGTCGGAAGGCCGCAACGAAGCAAATGCCCACACCCTTCAAAGACCTAGAGTAAACCTACGATGTTGGCCTCTTCGGGCCCTACTGGACGACATCTTGGAGGCCTCTTGGGCCGTCTTGGCGGCCTCTGGGGGCCTCTTGGAGCCATCTTGGGCCGTCTTGGTGGCTTCTTGGGTGGACGTGGAGGCATATGGGACCCTCTTGTCAGTCTTGGAGGCCAACTTGGACCATCCTGGGCGAACTTGGAGGCCATCTTGCGCCGTCTTGACCGCCTTGGATGTCATCGAAGCCGTCTTGCAGACGTTGGTTGCGCAGCGGCGGGGCGGCGGGACGGGCCGAAGCCCCAGGGGGAGTTCTTTTGGAAGAGACCCACACCACGCCGTAGGATCCAGCACGCCAGACACCCTTGTGGCAAGCAACCAGGGGGCGGTGGATCGAAGACGCCTACGGCGAATCACCGCCGCCCCCCGCCTTCTAGAATCGCCCAGGTGGCCGAGCGTTGTGGCAAAAGCTCTGCCACGATATCGGGCCATGTGTTCCCCAAACCGTTGTGGAAACCCTTCGGTGAACACTTGGGAGAGGATGGCGGGGAAAATCAAGATGAGGCGGAGGAGGAGGAAGTGGAGGAGGAGGAGGAGGAGGAGGAGGAGGATAAGGAGACATCTTGGGAGCCTCTGGGGACACTGTTGGGGCCTCCTGGGAGCTTCTTGGGAGCCTCTTGGACCTTTGGGGGCTTCTCGGGGCCTCTTTGGCCGTCTTGGTGGGCTCCTGGCCCGTCTGACGCCGTCGGAAGCCGTCCTTGGAGCCTCACGGCCATCTTGAGCGTTTTGGAGGCTTCTTGGGCCGTCTTGGGGGCCTCTTGGGGCCGTCTTGGGAACCTCTTGGGCCGTTCTGGGGCCATACTGGAGACCTCTTGGGCGATCTTTGGGGGCTCTTGAGCCGTCTCGGGCCGTCGGAAGGCATAACAAATCAAATGCCACAATCCTTAAGCAACTCTTGGGGAATGAATGACGTTGCCCTTTTCGGGCCTTCCTCCAGGCCCTCTTGGAGGCCTGTTGGGGCGTCTTGGGCCATCTTAGGGCCATCTTCGGCCGTCTTGGTGGGCTCCTGGCCCGTCTGGCGCCGTCGGAAGCCGTTTGAGAGGCCTCTCTGGGCCGACTTGGGGCCATCTTGTAATGCTCCAGGGCCGTCTTGGAGGCCATCTTGACTTGGGCGTCTTAAAGGCCTCCTGGGCCGTCCTGGGGGCCTCTTGGGCCGTTCTGGGGCCATCTGAGAGGCCTCTTGAGCGATATTGGGGCGATCTTTGGGGCTCTTGGGTCGTCTCGGGCCGTCGGACGGCCGAAAAGAAGCAACTGTCAAAATCCGTCAAACACCTAAATCAAATCAATGTGTTTAGTTTCTTCTGGCCCTCCTGGAGGCCCTCTTGGAGGCCTCTTGGGCAGTCTTGGGCCAGCTTAGAGCCAACTTCGGTCATGTTGGTGGGCTCCTGGCCCGTCTGACGCCGTCGGAAGCCGTTTGGGGGGCCTCTCTGGGCAGACTTGGGGCCCTCTTGGGGTGCTCCAGGGCCGTCTTGGAGGCCATCTTGGGCCGTCTTGGTGGCCTCTTGGGTCGACTTGGGGCCCTCTTGGGACTGTCTTGAGGGCCTCTTGGGAAGTCCTGAGGCCATCTTTGAGGCCTCTTGGGCGCTCATGGGCGATCTTGGGGGCTTCTTGGGCCGTCTTGGGTCGTCGGAAAGCCGAAAGCAAATACGAAAACTTTTAAAACCTGAAGAAAATCAATGATTTTAGCCTCTTCGGGCCCTCCTGGAGACCCTCTCGGAGGCCTCTTGGGCCGACTTAGAGGCCTCTTCGGCACCTCTTGGGCCGTCTTGGGCCGTCTTGGAGGTTTCTTGGGCGGACTTGGAGGCATCTCCTCCTCTCTTGGTCCGTCTTGGAGGCCATCTTGGACCACCTTGGGCGAACTTGGAGGCCACCTTTGCCGTCTTGGAGGCAGTCTTGGTGCGATCTGGAGCAGAAAATGCCTTTGCAACCGGTTTTTATGAGCTTTTCGGGTCGCCGGCTGGGACGGGCCGAAGCCCCAGGGGGAGTTCTTTCGGAAAAGAGCCAAAACCAAAACCGATAGGATCTAGCACGCTGGGCACCCCTGTGATGAATCAACAGGGGGCGACGGATCGAAGACGCCTACGGCGAATCACCGCCGCCCCCTGCCTTTTTGGAAGCGCCTATGTGGCCGAACGTTGAGGCCAGACCTGCCAAGCTATCGGACCACGTGTTCCCCGAATCGGTTTGGAAAGCCTTCGGGGAACACGTGGGCATCTTGAAGGTCATCTTGGCCGTCTTGGAGGCCTCTTGGGCAAGCTTTGGGCGATCTTTGGGGCTTTTTGGGCCGTCTCGGGCCAGCTTCGAGCCAACTTCGGCCATCTTGGTGGGTTCCTGGCACGTCTGAAGCCGTCGGAAGCCGTTTGGGGGGCCTCTATGGGCCGACTTGGGGCCCGCTTGGAATGCTCCAGGGCCGTCTTGGAGGCCATCTTGGGCGTCTTGGAGGCCATCTTGGGCGTGTTGGAGGCCTCTTGGGCCCTCTAGGGGCCATCTTGGAGGCCACTTGGGCCATCATGGGGCTCTCTTGGGGGCCTCTTGGGCGATCTTGGGGGCTTCTTGGGCCGTCTTGAGCCGTCGGAGAGCCGAAAAGGCGCAAATGCCAAAATCCTTCAAAAACCAAGGGAAAATCAATGATTTTGGCCTCTTCGGACTCTCCTGGAGGACCTCTTGGAGGCCTCTTGGGCCGTCTGGGAGGCCTCTGGGGGGCCTCTTGGGCCGTCTTGGGCCGTCTTGGACTCTCTTGGGCCGTTTTGGAGGCCGTCTTGGACCATCTCGGGCGGACTTGGAGGCCATCTTGGGCCATCTTCGCGATTTTTTGAGGATGTCCCAAGCGAAACGGCCTTTTTTGGGCATTGACAGATGGATTTTGGGAAATTCGCGGGTGGCCGGCGGGACGGGCCGAAGCCCACTGGGGAGTTCTTTTAGAAAAGCCGTGCACCCCTGCAAGCAGGGGGCGGCGGATCTTTCGCCGTCGGCCCATGCTGCCACCGTGCCTGGCTGGGTTGGTTGTAGGGTCAAAAGCAACTCGTGTCCCTCCTGGCCCGTTTTGGGGCGCCCGTGGCTCCGATAAAGTCGTGCGGGATGCGCCAGGAAACCATGGGATGCACGTCGGGAACCTTGGAAGATTTGGGAATTCGGGGGACTGAGGACTGCAGGGGACCTGAGGGCACTCCAAGTCGTGCCTCGCGGTGCGGTCGCCGATCCTGTGGTTCCCCCCCCGACGGAGAGGCATCTCGCTGCCGCCGCCGCTGGCCTGGCCAGACTGGCTCGAGACGCCAGCTGCCCTGCCGACATCGGCACCGTTCCCGCGCCGCCGCGCGCCGCGCAGATCCCGCCAGACCTGGCACGGAGCAGCGGCGCACGCCCACGGCGGGAT